GAAGGACCTTAGAGGTCTTCTAGTCCAGCCCCCTGCCCAAGCAGGAGACCCCCCCCTACCATTTCAAACAGGGGGCTGTCCAGTCTCTTCTTAAAAGCCTCCAGGGATGGAGCCCCCACCAACGTCTGAAGGCAACGTCCGTTCCACGGGTTAATTTTTCTCACCATTCGGAAATTTCTCCGTAATTCTAAGTTGCTTCTCTCCTTGATTAGTTTCCATCTGTTGCTTCTCATCCTGCCTTCAGGTGATTTGGAGAATAATTTGAAACCCCCCCCCCCCTCTTATTTGGGGCAGATATCAGAAGGCGGCTATCCTGTCCCCCCCTGGTCCTTCTCTTCCCTAGACTGGCCAAACCCACATCCTGCAGCTGTTCTTCATATGTTTTAGTCTCCAGGCCTTTAATCATCTTTGTTGCTCTTCTCCGCACTTCTTCTGCAAAGTCTCAATCACGTTAACGTTTATTTATTTTCTGCGTTGTTTTTTTTTCAAAGACGAAACTTCTGGATCTCTGTAATCCTTTTGCAACTTGGGGCGGGGGGCTCTTTTCCCAGGGAACCTGCCCTTTGCAGGGGGGGGGAGAAAAGCCAATTTGGCCACGTCTTTCTCTGGAACCGAGCATCAACTTCTGTGTCCTTGTGGCAAACGCAGCCTTTTCCCCTCGGCTCTGGAATGCAGGAATCCAGGAAACGGTCCCAGCCCTGAATATTTTGGCCGTGCCAATTTGGCATCTCTGCCGATGCCAGCCTCGGCCAACCTCTTCGCCCTGAGGAGGGGGGGGGAGCTCATTTGTCGGTGGAGGCCACGTGTCACCAGGCAGACAGTGCCCGGCGTGGAGAGGACAGAAAGTGGGCAGAGAAGGGCAGAGAAGAGGGACGAGGCAGGTGTGCACGGGAAGCAGGGGGAGATGCAAGACACTGTAAAAAAAAAGATTGTAAAAAAGAAGATTGTAAAAAAAAATTGCAAAAAAAAGATTGCAAAAAAGAAGATTGTAAAAAAAAGATTGTAAAAAAAATTGCAAAAAAAGAAGATTGTAAAAAAGAAGATTGTAAAAAAAAGATTGTAAAAAAATTGCAAAAAGAAGATTGTAAAAAAGAAGATTGTAAAAAAGAAGATTGTAAAAAAAATTGCAAAAAAAGATTGCAAAAAAAATATTGTTAAAAAAAAGATTGTAAAAAAAAAAAGATTGTTAAAAAGTGTGTGTGTGTGTGTGTGTGTGTGTTTTCTCACAGCTTTTAGAAGTGTCATTTCCCCCCCCCCCGCTTCCTTACTGGCACCTGGAGGCAGAGCAGGGCAGCTAATCCTCGACTAACATCCACGGTGGAGGCCAACATTGATGCTGCTGCTAAGCGAGACAGTCGTTAAATGAGTCTTGCACCACATTACAACCTTTCTGGCCGCTGTTGTTAAGGTGAGTCGTTGCAGTTGTTGAGGAAGCAGTACGGTTGTTGTAAGTAGTGGCTCCCCCATGGACTCGGCTTGTCGGAAGTTTGGAAAAACGGATCACGTCACCCCGGGATGCGCCAACCGCCGTAAATATGAGTAGGTTGGCAAGTGTGTGGATGTTTGATCACGTGACCACAGGGGGGCGCTGCAATGGTCATAACTTTTTCCGGGGCCGTTGTAACTTTGAACTGTCACTAAGCGAAATGTGGTGGGCCTAGGACAGCCTGTGGCTGGATAAAATGGGCCAGGTCTGCAGATAAGGTCAAAAAAGTCAAAATGGTGGAGCCACAACGGCGCAATCCGACTGTGCAGGCAAAGCTCCAATCGCCTTGTTGGTTGTGACGTTGTTTGAGCCCTTCCGGTCAAAGGGGAAACTTTGCTCTCGGTTCCTTTTCCATGAAAAGGGAATCTTGCGTATTTCGTCTGCTTCCCATGTTCACACGTTCAGCCCTGTTTTTTTTTCTGGACCTGGCACTCCTCCCCACATGGGCACCTCCGGCTCTCCCGCCAGTGCCCTTCTGCCCTTCGCCTTGCCCCCCCCCCACCCCCTCCTGGCCTGGAGGCTGGCAGGACATCCGTCAGAGGCTCTCGGGCCCCAGGGCCGATTTCCCAGCCTGGATGCCCCGGCCGGCCTGATTCCAGGAAAGCTTCTGCAGTGCCAGTCGTGCCAGGGTAAACACGGAAGGAGGAAGGCACGTATAGAACAGGATGTGCCCTGGAGGGAATGCCCCTCTCCAGTTGCCAGGTCTGAGTGCTCCTGAGTGCCTCTGTGGTTCTTCTGNTAAATTAATAAATTAATAAATTAATAAATTAATAAATAATAGAAAGGGATTAATATGCATATATATATTTAGAGGATGATCCATGTGTAACCATTAAAATGGAAAATAAATTGTGGAAGGAGGAATTTAAGATTGCTATGTAAATACAGAACCGGGTTTGCTGCAACGCCATCCTGAAAAATACACCAGCTGGAAGAGGAAAATATATAAACACAACAATGGAAAGAGGGGATGGGGAGAAGAGTAGAAAGGAAGGTAGGCAGAGGAGAAAGGAGAAGGGAAGAAGAAAGGGAAAAGGAGAGGAAGAAATGGAGGGGAAGTAAGAGTGGGAGAGAGGGAAGGAAAGGGAAAAAGAGGGGAGGAGGGGAGGGGAGGAGAGGAAGGGGAAGGAGAGAAGGGAAAGGAGAGGGGGAAAGAAGAAAGTAGAGAAGAAGGAGGGAGAGAAGGAAGGAAGAAAAAGTAGGGTTGTTGTGTAAAATAAGATTGGTTTACGGGAGGGTAGAAAAACAATCTCAACTATATTTTTAACTTTAGGGGGAGAAAAACTGTTATAAATGTTAAAAGATAACACATATTATTAATAATAGTTTTGAGACTGTGTATTTGTGAATGTATGTATGAGAAATAAAAATTAAAAAAAACTTTTTTCAAAAGAAAACTTCTCCTTAATTCCCGGTTGCTTCTCTCCTCCATTAGTTTCCATCCGTTGCTCCTTGCCCGGCCTTCAGAGGTGGCAAATCGGTTGAACAAATAACAACAATGAGGCTGTTGAGTTTGAGTCACTTGGGAGTAAGTTTGGGTGGAGACTTTCTCTCCGGTGGAGGGGGGGTGAGCTCTGAGCTGTCACTGCAGGACTTGGGGATATTCCCCCTTTCTCAGCTTCTCCCACCTCACAGGGTTGTTGTTGGGGAGAAACCAACTGGGGAGGGGGGGGAAGCAGAGGCTTGGGGACTAAGTGAGGATCTGTCCAGGGGAATCCGAAGCGGTGCCTGGTGGGGCAGCGGGAATGGAAAAGGTGGGGGGGATTTGGGGTGTCCCCCACGATCCCCCCCCCCAGACATCCAAGGCTGCTCTTGGGTGACCCCTGGTGTCGCTCCAGCTGATTGCCTCATTTAATGAAAAGAAGGACCAGGGGATGATGATGTGATAGAATTAGAATATTTTTTTTTTGTAATAATTTTTATTTAATATTTTTTTAAAAAAATATTAAAATCACAGTTACACTTTTACAGCTTTCCGTTATCGATATTTTTTCCCTAATTTTGAATTCTAAGGCCTATTGTTTTATAAAGATACCTCCTTATTTCATCGTTACTCATTTTCATAACCTGTACAACATTCACATCTCCGTTACTTTCTAAATATATGCCATTTCCTTTTCTTACACTTTCTGTTGAAAACTGTTTTATTTCATTTTCATTTTCATTTTATACAATCACTTATATACTGTGCATTTAAAAAGAAAAGCAATAACACAACTCATCTTCCACCATGGAAAACCAACATAGCACTTCAATCCTCCATACACCCTTTCTTCTCCNTGTGTGAAGCTCCACCCACAAGCTGGAGCATCCCGGAGGCTTGTGGAAGCGTCGCAGGCAAGTATGACACGTGCGCGCACCACGCCGGGGCTATTCTAACTGTACCGATTGGAACGGAATCCAAACCCACCACTGGTGTGCCAGGAAGTGACCAGCATGCACATACACACCGGTCACCTGACCTTCCAGTTTCTGGCACATACGTGCTAGAAGCTGAAAGCTCAGCTTCCCAATGCACTCATGCGCGCCAGAGAGATGCTCTTCCAATTTCCGGCGCTCCCACATGCGTGATGCGTGCCAGAACCTGGAAAAGCAATGGGCAATGGCTGCCGTGTCCGGAGAGATGGCTCTGTGTGCCACTTCTGGTACATGGGCCATAGGTTCACCATCACGGGTATAGGGTCTGCTTGAGCAAGAGGTTGGATTAGAAGACCTCCAAGGTCCCTTCCAACTGTCTTAGTCTCAATCTGTCCTGCAGGCAAACCCCCACAAAGTTTGAATCTTCTGTTCTTCCTAAGTCAGTGGACTCATTTCTATATGTATCTAACTTGCATCCTGGGAACCTACACGGGAAGGTCTGTCCCAGGCTAAAGGCTTGCTTGAAACCCATTTCATCTGGGACCCAAACTCAAGGAAAATGCCTGCCTATCCCTGTGGCATGTCCAGCTCAGTAGACTGTGGCTCCCTGAAATGGATGAGTTCTTCTCAAAACTTTTAGGAAGGTTGAAACAGACTATGCAGAGCAGTCCTTCCTCCTGCAGAAGGAATCTTCAGAGGGTTGGACTAGAAGATCTCCAAGGTCCCTTCCACCTCAGTTATTCTGTTGTTCCATTGTGAAGAAAAAGGGCCCCATCTGAAAAGACCCCAAATTGCCGGTTTCCTCAAAGCCTGGCTAGGTTTCATGAGGAGATTTGGCAAAGATTTGAACAAGAATGTTGTTTTGCTACCTTGAGCCGAGGTTGGTAGTGGTTAGAGTACAGTACTACAGGCTCCTTCAGCTGACTGCTAGCTGCAGTTCGGCAGTTCAAATCTCACCAGCTCAAGCTTGACTCAGCCTTCCATCCTTCCGAAGTGGGTAAAATGAGGACCCAGATTGTTGGGGACAAGATGCTTACTCTGTAAAATGGTTAGAGAGGGCTGTGAAGTGGTATATAAGTCTAAGTGCTATTCCTATTGGAGAACTTTCACATTCCTCTGAAGTGGGGTTTTTTCTTCTCTTTTTCCTCTTAGGTTGGGTGCTAAAAGCATCATCTGAAATTCTGGATATCCAAGGATCAAGATCTCACAACCTCCTTAAGATGTCTAAAGGGAGTTTTTCTTGCTGTCCCCAAAACAAGGTTGCTTTGGAGATCCAAGGAAGTACCTGGGTTTTTGTTTTTTGATATACATCTCTGCGCATAGAAAAAGTGACCTCACCCAACATGATAGGGGGAGGAGACAAAAGAGGCCCTAGGGTCAGTCTGATTGGGACTGCTGAAACATGCATAGAAAAAAAGTTCCTGAAAGGAGAAACCACCAATTGGATTATACAAAATCCCTCCTTCAAGGGATTCTCCTACCAGGACTCTAAGGGACCCCGAGAGCTTTGCAGCCAACTCTACCAAATTCATCGTGAATGGCTGAGACCGGAAAAAAACACAAAAGCTCAGATGTTGGACCTGGTGATCCTGGAGCAGTTCCTGGCCATCCTGCCCCCAGAGATGGAGACTTGGGTCCGGGAATGTGGAGCAGAGACCAGTTCCCAAGCTGTAGCCCTTGCAGAGGGCTTTCTCTTGAGCACAGCAAATGACCACAAGCAGGGAGAGCAGCAGGTGAGAAATTTTTAATCATGGTAATTATTTGGGCAACATAATTATGAACGTTGTTATTGAATATGCTTTCTTTCACAGGCTAATAACATAAGTATTTAGGGGCAGATAACAATCTGAACTGATCTTCCCACACATCCTCCTCAGTGAAACATGCAAACCAGCGCCTGCATTTCCTGTGTCAAATGAGGAGAGTATATCTTTCTCCTTCTGTCCTGACCACTTTCTACAGAGGCACGATTGAGAACGTTTTAACAAACTGCATCATTTTTGGTTTGGTGGCAGCAGTGCCTCAAATAGAAAGTCCATACAGTGAGTGGTGAGGACAGTGGAGAAGATCATAGGAAGCTCACTTCCTGTTATTCAGGATACTCCTTATAAGCTCTATGTGCTTAGAGCTCAAAGCATTTGTTAGAGACCTCACACACCCACTTTACAGTCTGTTTCTATTGCTCCCCCCTGGGAGGTGGTTTTGAAGTATTTATAGCAGGATTACCAAATTCTGTAACAGCTTTGCTCTCTATGCCATTCATCTGGTAAACTCGCAAGATTCATTTTTCTCGCCATGTACATGTATACATCTGAACTAGACTGTGTTGTTTCTCTGTGTCATATAACATATGTAGGTATATTTTGTATTTATTTATGTATTTATTTTGTCATTTTTGTGTAGTGTATATTGGAGGTGATGACCTTTTCAGAGCTGTATGCAACAAAATTTCATTTTAATGTATGCTGATTAGTGTACATTCATAAAGTTATTCTAAGTGTAAGTCATTAGAAGGTGATTTCATTTGTTTGTTTTGTCAAATGATTCTCTTGCCTAGTTGAGAACTATAAAATACTGGCATCTCAGGGTTGAACTATGGAGCTTAATTATTTTCTTGTAGATGTTTCATTACCCAATTAGGTAACATCTTCAATTTGTCTTATCAATGGAGGTGTTGTTTTCTCTTGGCAGTTCCTTGATTAGACTACTGTTTACTGCTTGCTTGTCTGGCGTTAATCCCCGCTTCTCTGGGTATTGATTTCTGGCTCTATAGTTAAGAACAAGACAGTAACATGCTTTTTCTACTTTTCTTGTGGGTATTTCAGGTTCAGAAGCCCTTCCTGTTGGCTGCAGAAGACACTGAAGCATGGAGGGATCTGCTTTATTCCTCTCAGGAATTGAGCATTCAGGAAGTGTCCCAGGAGGGTCCATCTGAGAACTTAGCAGGTAAAAGAGGAGTCCTTCTGATGCAATGGGAATTAACACAGCCTCCCTTTCTTTGTAAAAGTACTATAACTTTTGTGAATGAGTGGCTTTTGTCCCTAGTTTCTCTTTGTAATGTTCTTTAAACACTTTTTTTCTTAAATCTCAGTCTCCAAGAATAAAACATTGATAACTCTTGTGGGACCATCTCTCTTTTGTGGTGTAGAAGCAGCGGTTGTGCTTCCAACTCGGGTAAGCTAAAGCATTCCACTCTTTCCTCAAAGTCTGTGATTTATTTGAAGAGCATGCTTTGCTCTCCAAAATGGCCAAAATCTCTTTTCCAAAGCAAATTCCTTTCATTTTATTAGTGCCAATCTAACCAATTTTGTTTGGCCACAATGAAGTTCCTGAGAACTTGCTTAGGGTTGCATATCACTTGTGAATTGATGGCATCTCATACTGCCTTCTGGAAGATTTTTCTCTTCCTTCCTTCCTTCCTTCCTTCCTTCCTTCCTTCCTTTCTTTCTTTCTTTCTTTCTTTCTTT